TTAATACAGTAATGCTTGTATTACTGTTGGAAATGCATCAATTTTTGTTTGATGCGTATATGTGTCCCCCACCATACTAATACGCTCCATAAAGAACCATTTTTCCGCGTCAGTCACTATACACCATACTATATCCATTTCCTTTCCATCATCAATTTTACTAGCTTTGCGTTACAAGTTAGAGATGATTCCATCTGCACGGTGGCTCGTGCGATGCTCTGTTTAAAATCATCCCTTTTGACCTCGACTCATTCTTCCCGTTGAACGACATTCTATCGCCAAATATAGGTTCCCTGATCGTAATGCCCCTTGACAAGTTTTTCCGGTACGATTTTGAAATTATTCTCGAACAGTGATATACCCGCTGGCTAAGATAATATCTATCGGTTTCATACATGAAATTTAGTTCTGCTCCATCGTTCTCTAGTGCCGGTGGTTTGTAAGTTTCACGAATATATTTCTTGACGTCTTCGAGAGTTGCAGTTTCAATTCACTGGCCATTTATTCGGTTTTCGTTTCGAGTGAACGACGACCTTAAAGTCTATAATGCCTGGATGGAATTAATATGAACAAGAATCGGGTCTCGAGAGAGACGAACTTATTAAGCTTTTCCTGTAACAAAGTGATTTGGTTAAGTAATTCCCGTTCACCCGAGAGACTAAGACATCTGAAAATTAAAAAACAGTTACGAGATGTAAACAATAAAACCATTTTTTTTGCTTTTTGGAATGATGGCATTATTTTATGCAATATGATAATAGTAATGGAGCATTAAGCCATTTTACATTAATTTGTCTTAGAAGACGTCAGAAAATATTTTATCCAGCATTCGTAATGTTGCAATTAACACTCAAATTGACAATATTTACTATGCTAGTCACAAGAAATGTTATGTAGTGGTGAATAATGATAATACTGATATTGATATAAATACTTCTTGGAGAACAATGAAGAATGCACACCAACATTTGTGAGTGACTTCACCAGAATATACTCACTTCCAACACAATGGTTGTCAGTCAATGCAGATGACATAAGAAATGGCAACTCCTACTAATCAATAAAGGGATTTACCAAGTATAAAATAATTACTACATGGTTGCTGATAAACACTTTTATGACTGTTATTCCTGATAGAATTCGGCTCTGCATGCAAAATACTTTAAGATAGCCCAGTGTGGTGCATTTGCAGCATAAACAATTATCCAATGGATAAATAATAATAAGCAACAACAAGAAACTCAATGACTTTATTAAAAAATTTTAATTACAGACAAATTTAGCAAATGATTCTTATTTAATTTGGAATGGATTCCATTTTATTGTATTAAGGATGATGGTAATAGATACTTGAATGATAGATACTTGTATGGTCTGCCTGCTGATGCAGATGTTAAATTGTGTACTAATATTGATACATATTAATATGACTTGTACTTGTCATTTGCATGATCCACTTACTCATTCATATGTTAAATTGATTACACTTGAGATAATAACAGATGAGACACATGATTTATTATTATGCCAAGGTAAACTATTTATTCATGTGTCAAGTTTGTTGAAGAGTTTAAATAATTATTGACATATTAATATTATTATGTATTATTTCCACTAGTTATCCAGATATCCTTAACACAGATGTTTGGTTTATTATTATCATCAGATTCACATATTAAGCAAGTAAACAAAGTATTGTCTAATAATAATAAGAGAACAAGATGAGAAGGAATTATGTCTGGAATGTTACAGCTGCATATGAAGTCATATAAATGAATTCTGTACTTATTGTAAACACTAAGACTATGGGATTGGACTACGGGCAACAAGCCATTAGATTCGTTATTATTATTATGGAATCATGGAAGAATACAAAAAATGAATATGATGCATAGATACAATGGATTGAATACTTTCTATTGACCAACGTACAGTACAAGAGACGACATCATTACGCCGTGGATGCACACATATAGCAGAGTCGTTAGAGCGGAATACTGTACAAATGAATTGACATGTGTAACCTCAAAAAGATAAGATCCATTATTTGATTTGCATCATGTGAACTAATGTATTAGTATATGTAAATAGTATTATTTTAAGTGTGTATTGCGCGTTGACTCGTGTTGTAACAAGGATAAATTACAGCATTTGTGGCATACTGCATATTATCTGTAGTTGATTTAGTGCATTGCGATCTTCATGGCGGAAACACTGTTTTGATATCCTATATATGCGATCTTGGTCTTGCACGATCGGTGAATTCACACGTTCGAGCATTTGCCCCATATTGCACCAGAAGTCTTCTATACCTGCAAATTCACTCAGAAACCGGATGTGTACCCTTTGGGTGTCATTATTATTATGTATTTGATTGCTACTGGCGAACCGCCTTTTAGAGATAGGCAGTTCGATAGAGACTTAATATGTGACATTATGGATGGACTACGACAATTGATGCCTGATTCCGCACCAGAGGAATACAGGAAACTTGCCGAACGGCGTTGTGATGCTGATCCTATAAGCGTCCAGATGTAGCAACACTTTATAGTGATATTCTCAATCTCACAGTAAGACTCACAAGTATAATGGCAACGATGGAACATAATGATGTAAAACCGTTATCACTTCTCGAGTATACTCTTAACTACTACAGATGCAGCTGCAGGTATGAAGATAACATTGGTTATAAATAAAGTCAATTTACAATATTAACATCGTCTACTGTACATGACTTAGTG